ATGTGAACTCGTTACTTAAATTTGTTTGCCTGTAAGTAAAGCAACAAGTTCATTTATCTATGCAAAGGGGGACGGAGATATTAAGAACAGTTTTTCATTGGCTGGCGTTGTGAGGGGGGTAAAATTGTGTAGGATCTGATTTCTGACTTGGTGATAATAGTAGAATAATGGTCACCCCTTAATTAATAGGCTAGTCAGGGGCGGATCCAGGAATATCAAAAGGGGTGTCCCAAGAAATTGTGGGTGGAGGAATATGGCGAGTCTGAGTACAATAATGCATTAGAGAAGAGAATTGAAATTTTCCGGTGAAAAGGGGGGTTCGGGGGATGGGCCCCCTGGATCCGCCCTTTCTAGTGGATGGCATAGCAGTGAAGGCAGGATCGATACGGGCTTTATTAGTTCTCAGGGAGCGATATCAATTAGCTGGCCACTTGGTTATGTTAAAACAGAATGAGCCGGGAGAAGGCGGGGTGTAGTAGTCCCGTCCTGCATGGTGATGATCTGGTGGGTGACGGCTCTGAATGTTTACTAGTGTGTGTCTGTGTTATGTGTTTGTCTGTCTGTGTGTGTGTGTGTGTGTGTGTGTGTGTGTGTGTGTGTGTGTGTGTGTGTGTGTGTGTGTGTGTGTGTGTGTGTGTGTGTGTGTGTGTGTGTGTGTGTGTGTGTGTGTATGTCTAGCGTTGTTTGTTGTGTGTATGTCTGTCTGTATGTGTTGTTTGTTTGTCTGTCTGTAGGTGTATTGTCTGGATATATGTATATTCATATGTCTGTGTAATGTTGTGTATTTACGCGTACGTGGGTGTGCGTGTGCGTGAAAGAGTATCTATTTTGTTGCATGTGAGGGAGGAGGTAAGTATTTGGAGGAGGAAAGGGGGGTAAGTATTTGGAGGAGGGGGAGGAGGTATAAGGTATGCGTGCCAGTAAAGAAGGCTCGCTGGACATCTGCCAACTGTTTCTTACTGGGTCTTATTTTTTCATTATTCACCAGAGAGGTTTTTGCTTATTGCTTGACTCCAAACACGAACTTTAGCCGAGAGAGAGAGAGAGAGAGAGAGAGAGAGAGAGAGAGAGAGAGATTTAATTGTTAGGGATATTTTGGGGTCGAATAACAGAGATAAACAATTACGCTGAAATTACATCGTGATCGTCGGGTTTGTAATGATATGTCAAATGATTCGGTATAAAAAAAGTGAACTGGGGTGGTGAGGTAGTGTAGGAAGGGGTGAGGGGGGGGGTAGGGAGGGGTGAGGGACTGAGAAATGGCCAGTGACGTGCAGTTTCGTGTGGAGGTGAATTGCAGCAAGATGCATCCTGGTATTTTCTGACTGGTGATAAGTTAAGAATTACGGGATGACGACTAAATTTGAGGAGCTTGTTTTACCTGTACTGCATGAGGAAGAAATATTGAAGAGGAGGGCGGGGAGGGGTCCTGGTGATACCCCCTCCTCTCTGTGTGTGTGTGTGTGGTTCAGGTGATCACACGTGTACTATGCACGGGCGAACTTGTCCAATTGGTTGTATGTGCCTGGCATGAGAGGCTATGGGGGGGCTGTCATCGCCTACTGCCGTCGATGGTGTGTCGCTCTGACCTGGTATATGACACTTGAGGAGGATACACCGACACGTCTTGGAATCGATAAAGGAAACGGTATATAAATAGTTTATGTTGTTAGGTTGAAAAGTGCTCAGAATGTCTCGTAATAGTTTGTTAGTGTTTGAGTATCAAGAGTTAGTTTGTTTCATCATTGGTATTGACGTCTTGTGCATCATTGAATATTATTATATACGTGTTTATCCTCTTGAGAAATTTTTGATAGTTTTGTATTTTATGTTTTGTGCAATGAATAATATCCTCCATTTTTGTAGAGTGTAAATGTGTGATATAAGGACTTAATTCTGTATACACACAAGGTGATGTACCTACAGGGTAAGTAGATGTTTATGAAGCTATTGATGTATAAATAAATTAATGTTTTTTCTTCTGTTTTTCAGGTGAGTACTTGTCGTTGGTAGCCTTCCAAGGATGTATTCAGGCTAGTACAGTGTGAACCTTTTCTGTAGTTTGGCCCAGTGCCCCTATAAGGATGGGTGACAGGTTAATTACCAGGTGAATGATCCTGGCTGACGAGGGAAGGTGTATTTATATATATAATTATGACCAAACAGTGACACAGAACCAGGGAGATGATGACCATAGTGTTATTATTTATAGTGTTGACATGATGAGAGTAAGTTGTTTCTGCAGCTGTTATGGTGTGTACAATACTATATACTTACAAGTATTTTAATATATATTTTTATCCCTTAACCTGTAACTTGGGTAATATGCACAGTAATGCCGTCCATCCTTGGGGCACTCGCCTTTTAATTCAGTGGTCGCCGGTTCGAGTTCCACGACCTACCACTGAATGAGGCACCTCCAGTCGACCCAGCTGCAGAAAGGCCATAGAGTTCAGTGCCGGCCGCGCTGTCACCATACTTTATATACCTCAGGTTTAATCTCCAGTTAGCTGTGTCATCGCTGCCCTTGGTGTGACGTCAGGTATATGGGATCTACTCTCACTCTTCTTTCTTCCTTCGTCTGTCAGTGGCGAATTTGTCTTCTCTTCCATAAATTTCCTTAGGCGACACTTAACCATAATTTGAGAAAAAGGCTCCAGAAATGTTATGCATGGTCAGTACTGTCGTGTGGGGCAGAGGCATGGACACACACCAAGGGGAGGCTAGAGGTGTGGTGCTACGGGGGAATGTTATAAAGATAAGATACACTGACACGTAAACAATGAAGAAACACTAAGACTTAACAGAAACATCAAGAGTACTACCTGAGATGGTAATGAGAGGTATTGAGGGTAGGATGACCAGGAGACGGTAGGGACTGGGAGGGAGATGAATACATACTAAACCAGGCTGCTGCAGTATACCACATCATCAGTCTCCTCTCTGTGATTTGGTTCGTTCCTGGTTCCTTTGTGTCCCTGGGGGTGTGAACACGGTCTTATCTGGCATACATTGTGGTGGATGGCACTCACTGACCATGTTGACGGGGTGACAGTCCTCCCGTCTCTCCTCCTCACTCCCGTTACTTGCTGGCAAAAAACACTCCTGGAGGGGAACTCTGGAATACATGCAAATTCCTCCTTTCCTCTCCTACTCTCTCTTCTCTCCTACTCTCCTCCTACTCTCTCTCCTCTCCTACTCTCTCTCCTCCCTACCCTCTCTCCTCCCTACCCATCCAACCCCCCCCCCCTCCGTGAGATGTGTGAAGGTGATAACTCCAACAATGGCAATGGATTTTAACCAAATTTGGTGTGAGTGTTAGTTACCAAAACAAGATCTCAGACCAGTTGGATAATCAGTATTTTTCCGTCATTAAGTATGGAAAAATTATGGCCCCTTGAACTTTTGGCGTGGTAAAGGTGTGTGGGTGTGGGGTGGGGTGGGGTAGGGGTGTGGGGGGTGTACCTGTGTTATGTAACCTTGTCGTGGTGAGGGGTTTATCTCAGGTAAAGAGAGATTCTGGGGGATATGGTACTACTTTTTATATATAATGCTTTCTTCCATGGCCATTCTATGACCTCTGAAAGTTTGTACTGGGTGTGAGAGGCCATCCTACGACCTCTAAATGCTTGTACTGGGTGTGAGAGGCCATCCCACGACCTCTAAATACCTGTACTGGGTGTGAGAGGCCATCTTATGACGTCTAAATGCTTGTTTTGGGTGTAAGAGGCCATCTATGATCTCTAAAGGCTTTTAATGGGTGCGAGGCCATCTATGACCTCTAAAAATTTGTACTGGGTGTGAGAGGCCACCCTACTTTGTTTTTAATATATATGTCTTGAGATAATTTATGTACGGATGTGTGTTGTAAGAGATATTCTCCCTCAGCCCAGTAAGAGATATTCTTCCATACCCCAGTAAGAGATATTCTCCCTCAGCCCTGTAAGAGATATTCTCCCATACCCCAGTAAGAGATATTCTCCCTCAGCCCAGTAAGAGGTATATACTGTAGCGTTTCAGGTAAGGCAAGGAATAATTTATATACATTTAAGTCGTGTGTTAGGATGACGCGTGAAGTGGATATAATGGTGAAATAAGGCGAAGCGAAGCCTTAAAACACCGCCAATGAAAAACCTGTTTTAAATGGGCTATGATGGATGAAATCGAGGGGGGAGGGGGATACGTGCCTCCTGAGGGATACCCACTTGTTCAGGGGTAGTAGATATATAGTTAGTTTTTGTCATTGGATTATCCGAAGGTGGTGGTAGGGGGAGTTAGTTCCCCGTGTGAGGAACCAGGTGAGCCAATTGGATGTGTTGTCCAGTACTTGGAGATTATGTAATTGGATTGGTCCTGGGAATTGTATCTGGCAAGCCTAATGATCGGTTATGTTGGTCTGTGCTCCTGCCTTTGCCCTGGTATCAAGTGATCTCATGATGACTGTTATGGATTTCCCTTCATTATTATTCCTCTTGGCAATATTAATGTTGGCCTCGTCCTGATGGATGGCTCGAAATTGCTGGTCTCCAGACTCAAAATTTGGGACCGAATTTTGTCCGGTGATTAATTGGTGTTATTTTGTTTCCCGAGGTAGACGAATATTGTGAAAACATCGACTCATTAGTTTGATTGATGAAATTGCATTAAAAGTTATGAGACGACTTGTTCATCAGGGAAAATTCTCGTGAACTCAATGTAAACGTTTGTCGGTGCGAGTTGCCACGTCGTGTATTTAGCGTCGCTCCCAACCAGCAGAGCTGTGGGTCTTATTTCACTGGCTAGTCATGTTTTGTGTGTGTATATTCACGAGTTAGTGTCACATGTTGCAGTAGAACACAGGATAATCTTCGAGGTGGTCGCGGAGACGCTGCCTGGGCGTAAAATAGTGTAAAAATTGTCGAATTGGTCACCGCGAGGCCGAGTCACGATCATAGCGTAGACTGGGATGTTGTGTATTGAAGCGCGGAGGTGTGCGTTAGTGAGCGTGGTGTTGTGGAAGATGTTGTAGTGCAGACCGCGTCCACCGCCCCACTGTGAGCTCCCACGTGCTCCCACAACCTTACTGTGCCACAAACACACAAGGGAGCGCCACCCCTTAAGTTACCGATACCGACCTCGCTGCTCTTGTGAGTGCCGCCTGTGTGCGCCAGCGGGAGGTGGTAGGTCGCCTCTCTGAAACACACGCGTCCTGGGCACCACTCAAGAACTGGAGTTTTGCCGAAGGACTGTACTGGTGCCACCCACAGTGAGGGTCTGAGGTGTGTTAGGCCCTGCCGGATGTAGTGTACTTAAGGACTTATGTCTTGAGGTGACAGATGGCCGCACGTCATGATAATGTTGGTGTGGATCTGCCTATTTATCGTGAGGGCGCTAACAGATGCTCGAGTACGTGTGATTATGCAGGTGTTTACTCTGCGTGTATTACCGCACATCGTGTTTTGGTGGAAGAATAAATTACATGTGTTCACAACAGACATTGGAAAATCTGGCAACTGTGCTTGATGTAGTGGAATAGTGAAGTGAAACATCGGGCGGGAGACAGTGGAGAATAAACCATTGGGCGAGTGATGTGTTGGCCCAGCCTGTGTGATCATCACCTCGGGGCTCTACGTTATGGCTGGTTCACCCACAATACTCTTAATATATATAAGCTTAAGCTCCATTGTGCCTCTGCCTATACTGGCTGTAACGTCTCAACGGTGAACATTAAAAAAAAATATGTAATTGTGCAAACCAGAAGAGATTATAATTATTAGCGCCGTGATGGTGGACGGCCTCGCTGTGTGGGTGGCATCTAGGAAGGCGCAGCGCAGCCTTAGTGTTGTACACGTTGTGGACTGTGGCAGGTGGTGACCTCCTCTTTACTTAGGTTGTGACATCCGCCAGGATACTGCCACTTCAGCCACCATCGAAGGTGGTTCAAGAGGGTGTTGCTCTAGACGTGAGAACACTGTCTGTCGCACTGGTATAAGAACACTGCAGGTAAACGGGGAGACTACTGGTGCAGGAGTAAGGAATAACCGACACAAACCAGCTGGACACCACGTAGAGAAATTATCTTCCACACCGCCAACCTGGTGACGGTGTGTGTGTCCTGCTCCGGGTACTGTGTTCTCCCGCTGGTATGTGACGTGCGTGGGTATTGTTCACAGGGATTTATTAAGTAGTACTGAGTTTGGGACAGTTTGTTGTGTTCTATAGAGATTTATTGCATAAAACTACAGTAGTGGGCGACTAGTTCGTTGTTCATGACAGGGCCCACAGTACACAGAGGGTGCCGGGTTCAGTGTCATTCACGTGAACACATTGTACTGTAGTCGTTTACTTTGGACCTGCCAAGTTATTACTGGATGTGGCAACGAGTGGTCGAATTATTGCCCCAAGTCCTATAATCATTTGAGTCCCTTGCCGTAAAATTTTTCAGAATTATTATGTCCGCTCTGTATGTAATGTTTATGCCAGCTTTTATTCATCGTCTTTCTTCTTTGTCTAAGTGTAGTAAGGGGAAGTTTTTATTACCATAAATATATTTTGAATATTCTGTTTTTGCTTCTTATGTATTTAATGACCGAAGATAAATAGTGTAGTGTATAAATTTATTCCTCGAATATTACTTTACTTCGGTTATATAGAATATCATATATATATATATATATATATATATATATATATATATATATATATATATATATATATATATATATATATATATATATATATATATATATATATATATATATATATATATATATATATATATATATAATATATATATATATAATATATATATATATATATATATATATATATATATATATATATATATATATATATATAATATATATATATATATAATATAATATAATATAATATATAATCGTTACTTACCAATTATTTCCATATCAAATTATTGAAACTTAGTGTTGAATTAGTCAACAGTGATATACCTGTAGACCGATATTAACAGATGAAGCTTATTTGGTTTTACTGTATATGAAGAAGACAACTTCGGTTTAGTTTAGTTATATTTTTCACCTTCAGGTAGAGGCGACACCCACAGAAGGTATTGGCGGTAACCCAAACTAATGAGCTGTATTACAGGTAAAAACAGTACCGGGGCAATTATGTTACCTGCCAGAGAGGAGGACCCAAACTAGGGTGAATATCACCTACGTTAAGTAAAACAGATACCGGGACTATTTTTACTGGTCGACACCGGGGCATATTAATTACCGGTGAAGGTGAGGACTAGAGGCTGTACTGTAGTGATAAACAACAGGACTGGGACAGGATTGGTGATTAAGTGTAAATTACAAAACCTCTCAGGGAATTATGTTCTTATATATGAGCTATAAATTGTACAGGTGGTCGCTATACACTGTAACACCTGAAATTATCCTTTGAATATGGTATTGTTAAGTGACCTGGTCATACTCAACTACACTATTACTCCTACAACACCGCCAGAGTCCACATTATTAATATTTAATCATGAGACCAGTTTATCCCGTTAATGTAGATTATAAAGAAGTTTGTATTTGTGGGTAGAATGTTCCTGCTACAGTGATTTATTAAACATGTAACTGAGGGGCTAGGAGTGAACTATGTCCCTGTGAGTGTGTAGCTGTAGCACCTTGTAGCCAGCACGCCGCCCACCCAGATCACTAAACACTTGTCTAGTTTAATTCCCGACCTGTGAAATACGCCCACCTGACTGGGGATTGAACCCGGGACCTTGGAAGTTCAAGGCTAGTTGTGCTATCCTTGGTCACGACCAGCGCTAGTCCTGTTATATAACACGACAAGTAGTGTATAGTGGAGAGTATGAACAGTAAGATAACAACGTGGGGTCGTGAACTATATAAACGCTCTCGTATAAACAGTGTAATATTAAATTGATAAGTGATGGCGGTGTCAGCAAACAGATCTCTCGTCACTACGTATACAATATTGGACTCGTTATATGCGAAATTATCTGTAGTGTTGATAATTTGTAACTTTACGCTTTAATATTAGTGAATACTGTACGGTGATGGGGTGTAGTAGACGAGGGTGTGCGGTGAACATTATTATTATTATTATTATTATTATTATTATTATTATTATTATTATTATAATTATAATATCGGATGAGCTGCGACATCCATGAATGACAGTGGAAAGACAGCCAGTATTTTCTTATCATTTCGTCCCCAGAAACTTATGTCCCAGTAATTCTTATCTATAATAAGTAATTAAGAGACAGCCAGTACGTCACAAGCGACAGGAGTGAGATAAATGTCTTGAGCTCTTATCAGTCCAGTGGTGATTGTGTGGGTAGTCCGCGGCAACGGTACCTTATCAGTTGCGTTGATGTGCGATGTGGTTTATACTGTATAGTGAAGGTGTGTTATAGTGTAGATCAAGTCTACAGCAATATAGTTTACGTGTAGTGATGTGTAGTTTAGTGTTACCTGAAGGAGAGAACATTTAGGGGACTTTTTTGTTTGTCTTGCGTGTCCGTCGGTATGTATGGACGACCTTCTGACCGCCACGCTTGTACGCCCCGGGTGTAATTTTGAAACTTTGAGATTGATTCCCTGAAAGTTTCTATGAGTAAGAAGAATCATGGGACGGTGTTCAGTACTGGGGAACCATAACTCCTTATCGTGAAGGTCAAGATGATGATAAAATTACACAGAATGAACGAGTAGTATTTTCCTATTGATATTATGTACGGTAGGACTGACAGTCACATTCGCATAAGTATAATAATCTGAGTATTTAAATTTTGTTACTTAATATCGGACAAAAGTCAAGATCACGAGGCTCTTAAAGGTCCCTTTCTTGACGTAATATCCACATTATTAAGTAAAGTTGATGATAATGTCACATCTGATTAGGTTATGAGTAATTCGTTATCTGTAAGTTATTGTCGAACTCGGTTTAAAGGCCAAAGGGAAAAAAGGTGGTTGACCTCTTGATTTTTCACAATTATGAATTTATCTCTGCCCCGATGACCACCTAAGAAGGTCAGTGTCAAAGGTCACCAGAAGGTACCAGAAGAGTCAGTAGGCGGACTACACTGGGACTCACGCCAAGTGTCAGTGTTCGTCACGTTTCAACAAGACTGTGTGTGATTCGCGGACAACTTCTTTCTTTCTTTCTTTTTTTATTGGGAACCCCCCTACATCCTTGTGTAAGGACAACTACCAGGTCTGTTTCGTGAAGGTCAAACGTAGAGGTCAAAGGTCAACAGCGGGTACAGTATTGTGTTGGAGGAGCATCTATCTTTTACCGACTCTTTTGCTAGGTTGGCGGTGCGAGCGAGGTCTTGTTCCAGGAAGTGTCTAGGTGAGGTCATCTACTGGTAGGATTAGTAATTATTTTATCATTGCATAACATTAATATATATACTTGATTATTATTTGACTATTTTTGGGGGTGTTCGTGTTAGGTCATCTTGGTAAGAATTTATATATATGTATATATATTTCATGTAAATCCACAATGGAAACGTGGATAAGATAAATCTTGATAAAATCACACGGGAAAATGGAAACAACGGAGTACCTTAGCTTTCGTCTTTATTCAAGACATCTTCAGTTGCCTCTGAAGATGTCTTGAATAAAGACGAAAGCTAAGGTACTCCGTTGTTTCCATTTTCCCGTGTGATTTTATCAAGATATATATATATATATATATATATATATATATATATGTATATATATATATATATATGTATATATATATGTATATATATGTATATATATATATGTATATATATATATATATATATATATATATATATATATATATATATATATATATATATATATATATATATATATATATATACTGTAGTGTCGTTAGAATATTTTTATCATTGAGGAGTAATGCCTAGATGAGATAGGAAATGTAGTGTTAATCCGAATTTAGTGATTACTGGATGGAAACTGGTACCCAGACAGCGGGATTGTGTAGGTCACTGCAGCAGCGTTATATGTGGCTTCTGTGTACTGTACTGTACATCCTTCACCGTCCGGGGTGTTGGCCGGGTGTAGGTCAGTGATCGTTTACGGTGACCCACAAGTAACACTGGCCGCCAGGTTGACACACTTGTGGATGATGCCGCCCCAAGGTTTAG